GCGGTTCAGGTGTCCAGAGGCCATGTTCCAGCCCTCTTTTCTGGGCATGGAGTCCTGTGGTATCCATGAGACAACTTTCAACTCCATCATGAAGTGTGACGTGGACATCCGAAAAGACCTGTATGCCAACACAGTACTGTCTGGGGGCACCACCATGTACCCAGGCATTGCTGACCGCATGAGGAAGGAGATCTGCACCTTGGCACCTGCCACCATGAAAATCAAGATAGTTGCCCCACCAGAGCGTAAATATTCAGTCTGGATTGGAGGATCGATCCTGGCTTCTCTGTCCACCTTCCAGCAGATGTGGATCAGCAAGGAGGAGTATGATGAAGCTGGCCCTGCTATTGTCCACCGTAAATGCTTCTAAATGAGCTGCCTTGGAATATGACTACAACACGAGTCGTCTAAAGACAATCCTTTGTCCTCAGCTGCTGAGACTGGTAGTGGAGCTATCTGGATGTTGGCTTTATAGACCCCAGCTCAGGGTCCTGCTTGTGATGTCTACTACCTGGGACAACTTATGTACCCTAAGTAAGGGGAAGGGGCTACAGTTAGGTGGCTTTTTGGGTATCAAATAGCAGCTGGGGGGTAGGGGTAGATATTCTAACTAATTCCTCTTCAAACTATGAAAGGCTCCCAAGTCTTGAGCTGGGTTTCAGGTGTCTGGGGAGGGTTTATAGCTTGCACGGAGCAGCACTGGCTTGTCTCAGTGAAGTTCCATGGAACTGAAGAGGTAAGCATCCAAGATGTTGAGTGGGATGGGGAGGGAAAACCTATGGAGGCTCAGGGTGACTTTGGCTGTGGCCTGAGTCCCATGTCATACCCTTGGGCATTGCATGCTATGCTGCGATGATTCGGGCAGCGTGGAAATGGCTCTTGCATAGCTAAGCTCCTTATTTTCCTGTTAACTTCTCCATGGGGAGGAGTGCTGTAGCCAACTTCTAGCTACCCTCTTCTTGGTCCTAACCCCCCTCCCCATGCCTACTACTGTAAATCCAAGTGGCAGAGCTGCCTCAGTACCTTCCAGTTTTTAGCCCCCCTCTCCCCTCCTACTGATTGGAATCAGCTGGTGAGGTCACTAATGGTGGCCTTCTGTTCAAATGCATGCAATCTCAATTTTTGTCAGGCTCTCATTTGAGGACAGTTAAGAATATCCGCAGATGAGAAGCCCATCTCTACTTGTGTATTAATCGTGTAATCATCCTGTAAATGCCTGCTGGTTGGAATGAAATTCTTGCTGTTTAGCCACTAAACATTGTTTAACTTCTTCTTTCTTCACACTTCCCATGTAGCTGGTCTAAAAGCCTTCAGTCCCCCTTGGACTACAAAGTTAACCTGCCTGCTATGAACCATGTGACCTATCTTTTTCAGGGGAAAACTGATGGATCCATAGTGATCCCTTTCAAATATGGGAGTTCTGTCAAACCTGTGTTGGAACTACTTTCTGGAATAAAAATTCTGCTGGCTACTAAAGCTTGAGCATGTAATTTGCAGTGGTCTCCCTAGAAGGAGCCAAATAGCATGATGGGGTGGGGAACTGCATCACAACAACCTCTCTGAATGTGGCTGGCTTTCATGTGTAGGACTAGTCTAGGAAGCTCCTAATCCCAGACCCAACCTAGACTTCAATGAATAGGGCCAGGGCCACTATCCTTGTAATATATATTACAAGGATAGTGGCCCTATTCATTGAAGTCTAGGTTGGGTCTGGGACTAAAAAAAATGTATATTGGTGCAATGCTGAGTATTCTCTGGACAGTACACTCACTCACTCACTCTCTCTGTCTCTCTGTCTCTCTGTCTCTCTGTCTCTCTGTCTCTCTGTCTCTCGGAGCACGAGAGATGCCTCAGCAGCTCCTGACTAAAACTTGGCCTTCTTGACTGCCTTTCTGCTTGACTCTTGTAACTTGGCTGCATGCACAACTATGTAATGGTCCCCTAGAAACTTCTTGCATCTGGTAGTAACTTCCCTGTGCAAGGCACTTTACCTGCTTACTTGGAGTAGGCTTACTGATGAAGATTGGATGCAGTCACAAAACTGAATGGATGAAGTGTGCCATGAGACCTCCTCCAGACTGGCAGCTTGGTGCTTCCTGACTTATCGTTTCACTTTTTCTCCTAGCTCTAAAAAGCATCTGGCCTTAACCACAGGTAGCACCCTAGACTGGTCCTACTGACAACAGCATGATGTTTGGGGAGGCAGGCAGCCCTGCTGAATCCAGCAAAGACTTTCACTTGGTAATTGTGTACGTGTAAAAACTTTGATGTAGAGGTGGTGTGGGGAAGGAAAAGAACAAATTTTGCCTACTAATCTATTAATCTTACCCAAAGAAATTCTGCCTCCTTACTAGTAACATGACATCTGATTTAAAGCCACTTATGACTCTGCACTACATAGCATTATCCCATCTATTGTTATCCTAGGTACTCTGATTTCTGGCTACTAATGGTAAAAAGGGACATTACACACCTGTAGCAATAGCAGGATGTGCTCTCTAGTGTGAAGTACAGCCTCTCTCTACATCACTCCTGCCCCAGTTGGCTTTACAACCCTATATGTTCAGGCTGTTCTCCACCTCCACATCGAGAAGGAAAAAAATCTGTGTGTTGTGCAGATGTGGATGTCTGTCTGGCTTCCAAAGCAATATTAAACTTCCATAGCATAGAGAACTCCAGCTGAATGGAAGTCCTAGTATTGTTAGTATCCCTGCAGCTTTCTAAGCTGCTTGTATTGAGCTTTCTTCAGTGAAAAAATGTGTTATGCTTTTACTCTTTAATCCAACAACTGATCAACTTCTATGTGCTGTTTCTAGTACTCTTACCTTAATACTATAATACTCTCAATCTGAAAGAACTAGGTGAAAAGAGAGGTTTCCTACTTCTAAGAATCAGAATCTTTCAGTGCCATAATCGTAATGCTTCAATAACTATTTACTAACCACTATCCTTTTGTGAACTAAGGAGTAGTGAGCCTCCATCCATAGGCTGATTGTGACTTGGAACAAACTCCCCTGCAGACATGGATGATGGCAATGTAAATAGTGGCAGAGGAGACTCTATGCCCTCCCCTCCCTCTCCCCACACACACTACAGCTAGATGCATATCCAGTATTTGACTGGAGAGAAAAAAGAAAGAAGCTAGAGAGACCTCACTTGCAATACATAGAGAAGATGAATGTGACTGAGGGAGCTTTCCTAGTGCTTGCCTTCACTGATGGTTTTTTTTTTTTTTTTTTTTTTTTTTTTTTTTTTTTAGCTAGTGTGTAGTAGCTTGCTGTAAGCCATCCTAGTTTTATGGTGGAATAAAC